ATGACGAAAAATCTGACCACTGTTTCTTTGAAGATTTGTACAAATAAAGGTTCCTCATTTCTGCCGTCGAGCCTTGTAGTCAGCATGGATTCTTCGCACAGACAGATCTTCCGAGATGTGTCAATCTCTAATTATAACTCTCACGACTATCACCATTATTACGCCTTAACCGGCTCCACTGGCAACCCGGATGGGTGCTTTCTACCTGTGTCGATCATGCGAAATATTCGCCACCACCTTAAGCTGGTGTTTCCTCCGCCATTTGTACCGAACATTTCCGGCCTAGGCAGTCACCTGTGTCAGATGGCAGTGTGTCATCACGTCTGAAATTTACCTCTTCTTTTGGAGTCATCGAGGAATTAGGGTGGCATTGAGTGCAAATGAGGTGATATCGTCTGAGGGACATCTCAAAACGTGTCCCAGCCAACGAAATCGCCATTCATTGAGGAAACTAGGTCGCAATGGTCATGGATTATGGTATTGGTCATTTGGTGGAAAAATCCTGCCCGCGAGATGTTTTGGACACCCAAGTAGATAAACACCACCCCCATCATCACCACTGTTTCCTAACTGGCATTTTCACTTGTCATGAGGAAGCGTACAGCTACAACAGTCACATCATCACTGTCAACGCCATAATCATAACCCCCCCGTCTTCATCTGTCATTCTGTCATCCGTATGGGTCAGACATCAGACATCCATCGTGCCATATTATCTTGTCTCGAGCCACGACTTCCGTTGTTCAGCGATTCTCCTCAGCGAGTTGAGGTAATCTACCCATTGTAAGATCTCGTTCCTCAAGCAGAGGTTTTCCACTCCGTTTTGATCCATGAGAAGCCTGGCGCATTTTAGACAAAGCTTGATACTGTGGGCCGCTGTTTGTTGTACAGTTTCAGTAAAAACTCGATGATGCACCGAGGAAATGCCTTATTTAAAGTGGTTCTCATTGAGTCCAAATCTTTTGTGTAATCAGCGGATCAGAAGTAAAGTGGTTGACGTAATTCAAATGCATTTTGCATATTCGAACGGATGTATGTGATTCGATTCCTTGTACCCTGGGTTGTGCCTGATCATCCGCGCATTTGATCTAAAATTATTGATAGAAAAATCCTGCCAGTATGCTGGACGAACTAAATGGTTCCATAGTTCGAGCAGATTAGGGGATTAGGGCGGATAAACACAGAATATGTTTAGTGTTTAATATTTTTAATGTTTTAATAATATTTAGTCATGAAGTCATTTTCCGTACATCGCAAGTCCAAATGGATTTATAAGTGCTGTAATTATTATATCGCTGCCAGATTCAAAAATTTTACTAAAGTTCACTTAGAACGTGACATTTCCAATCTTTTGTATATTAATGGCGTATTCAGTCGTCACCACTAATGTCACCGGGTCCAGACCTATGGGCAGTGCAACGCGTTAAAGCATAATGACCACTGTGCTATGTTTCCCTCTTGGTTGATATCCCTATTTCTATTATTGTTTATTTTTCCCGACTTAAAGATGAATTACATCAAAAGAAGCAGAAGATAGAATGCACCTCATCGTGGCTATTGAGGCACGTGAAGAAAATAAGAATACGTGGTAAACAAACCTAAAATAGCAAAATTCGTGTATCAGTAGCGATCGCGTGCAGCAGACCTCTGTCGCCTTTAAGTACGTCATCGAATCCACACACCCTCTGAGCCGAATTTGCCACCGTAGATCTACCGTGCGATTGTATGCTATCATAAGTCTCACTACTGTGTCAAACTACCTTAAAAAAGTTTTACAATTCCATAAAATATAACGGTCGAGCGCTGAGGCAATAAACACTGCTGTGAAAAACTTTCGAAGGTGCCATCAAAAAATTCTTGAGCAGCAAAAACTACTTTACGAAAAACATAAAAGCATGCATTGTGGAAAATTTTAATTTCCTGGCTTGCTCAAAAAGTTGAATCCCAGAAAGGCGTTATGTTTTGAGCACGACTTTGGCGGACTGATGAATGACCGTTGACACAAAGAATCCAATTGCAGGATGATGCATGTTGTACTAATTACGAAAACGACAACTTTTTAGAGTGGTTTTCGGATGACATACTTTGCCAACGGGCGTCGTGTGCGTCATCAGAGTGTCGAAGGAAAAAATGACAATTATTTTTTTATGCGTTTAAAAGTGACAAAGTTGTCAGTTTTTAAAGCAAGGACGCAAAATCGCTCAACTGCGTATTCGTTGTTTTGTTCAGAAGTGTTTGCCACTTCTTTGGAATTAGAGCGCTTAGCAGTTTGAGTTTAAGAGGCAAAACAAATTAGAAAAGTTTTTTTTCAAATTCCGCAGCATCTTCGCGCAGAGATCGTAGGCGAAAGGCAGGCACTCCCTCCAGGTCTTCAGCACAGTCATACTTCAAAATCAAATTAGCATCTCTGTACAAAATCTTATTCAATAGTGCCAGTACTGAAAACGCATAAAGACATGTTCGGATATTTGAGTTTTGCAGAGTGCCGAGGAGTCCAGAAAAACGGGTATAAAACCTCTTATGATGCTACTGCTGGTGATGATGGACGAGGAGGATCATGAGAGTGAAAACGATGATGATGATTTGGATAGCGATTACTCCGCTGGCAAAGCCTACGGAAAACTTACGGATTTAGAATGGGGCAATAGATTTTAAGCTGTTTTTTCCACAGAGACGATTGTTGCTGTCGCACACTTGCTCATCTACCGATATTACAGTCAACATGGTGCAGATTAAATATTATTCTGGTAAACGCTCCG